TATTTGCCGCACCACATAAAAACAAACCCTGGAATGATTCTCCCCCTGTAAAATCCAACAACCAAAGGCTTCCCATGGCTTCATTTCGTGGTGCACCACGAAATGAAACCATGGCTGAAACCACAACGTTGGTTGGTATTTACGTTGGAGAATCGAGTCATTCCAGGGATTTGGCTGGTGCGAAATGGATTTCGTCCATCCACAGTAGAAAAATAGGTCACTGGGCTGACAAACTGAGTAATGTTGGACCTGCTTTCGTGTGAACCCCCTCCCCCCCTGAACAGTGGAACCAGTCAGCTGGACCCTCTTTAGGGAAAATCCTGGGGGGTCTGGGAGGGACAGTGGGCAACCCCCTTTGTGTGACTGGGAGCCCGGATTTGTTTGCCCGTTTTTTGTGAGACTTTTTTGGCCAGGTGTTTTTCCCCGGCCCCCAAAACAGTCACAGGATCCTGAATTACGAAAAACACTTTACACGATACAGGCTCCTGCCATTAAAGTGTGTTCAACATTACAGACTGCAAGGGTGAAACTGGATTGGAGTTGGAGATTTAGAAAGGCAGGCGGACTTTCCTGGATAAGTCCAGCATCAAATCACTCGCGGGCTGTTCTTGCTTTATGCTGCATGTTCACTGGCTGCCATACAGCACTTGAAGCGGATGGACAAATCATGACAGAAGTGCCCTCGTAGCCTTGTATGTAGGTATTCCAGAAACAGTGAGCTCCAGTTGCCCATGGTAGCAAACCAGCAATGGTTCTTTTGGTTAAAGGCGGGTTCCCTTGGTCACCTACAATGGCATCACTGGGGCAGTGTCAAAAAGGAGGTTGGATGGCCATCCCTACAAATCCATCCCCGTTTTGTCTTGTTTTCCCCAACAGCTGAAAGCTTTGGGGTCTCAGCCCAGATAGGCTCCGGGGTGGTCCGGGGCGGCCCTGAGGTAGGGTTCCACCACGGTTCCACCAGAAGGGCTGCTGATCCCCGGGTCCATGGCCTTCCTGCAGCCAACCACATGAGTGCTTGTCATTCCCCCCCCCCCCCGGTCCCCCCGTGGGTCCCAGGTCGAGCGGGTGGAGTAAAGTCCAGGTTCGCAGCCCCCGAAAGCGGTGCCGTCCTTGCTTTGCTGCAGCTTGATGCTCTTCACCGCCTCGGCTTTGGCATGGCAAGGCACGTCTGCGTGAGCCAAGACCGACCTGAGAAATCTTTAAAGGAGAGTCTGCGAATGTCTGCATTGACCGCTCCGGGCCTAGCGCATTCTCATTGCTCGAAGTCATATGTGCCATGGTCACCTTGTGACCAGTTCCTCTACTGCACAGGGATTCTAGGTGCCGCTTCTTGGATTAATTCAATTAGAAGCGCTGACAAGCTCGCTTGGAGTTCCCCATTCTGACGCACCTGAGTCAAGACGGATCTGGGCAAACTCGTTTCACAACATCTGAAGGGAAACTTCAAGGGACCTTGATGGTGGCAATCGTTCATTTGACCCATCGGAGAGCTCACGTGGAAAAATGGAGTGTTGAACACATACTCACATTTTGCTCCCATGGCAATGGCTTCATTTGGTTAAGTGCCCCATGAACCCATTCTAAATACTGTAGTCCTTATGTTTTTCTCTTACCCTGCTCCCTGTTGGGCCCGTGGAAACCCATATTCACATCCAAGCCCTTCCCTCGTCCAAGTTCACACCCTCGGCCCTGTATCCTAAACCTACGTGAAGCTCTCCTAATGGCCATACCAGGGCACCAACAGTTTGCCCCCTGAAAGATACGTAGACATGACTTTTTCTATGTGGCATTCCTGCCGAAAGGGCTTCAAAACGCTCCCCTTTTGGCTGCAAAGGATGCAACCCCTAACCCGCTTCTGTTGTTTGCCCCCCCCAAAAAGACCTATCTTATTTCAGGCAACCTCAGGATTGTAATTCCGACCAAAAAAAACGAAGGGAAACTCCCCAGAAATCATAAGCAGAAATATGGCCATGCGCTTCAAAAGGGAGCCTAAAAAAGAATGCTTGGACGTAAATCCCCCCAACTGATGTCCACCATGTGGGTCCCTTGTTGAAATTCACACCCTGTCGCCCCCTTATTAACAAAAAGAGAAAAAGAAAAAAACAAAAAAAGAAGAAGAAGAGGAAGAAAAAACAGAGAAAAAGAAACGGACCCCTCCGCATCCGAGTCGCGACGCGGGTGCAGAGGCCGTTCCGGTCCGGGCGCCGGCTGCGGCCCAAGAGCACGGACCCTGCAAAGCCGGAGCCGAGCACCTGAGCCGAGCCGAGCTGGGCGCGCGGAAACTCAAGTGGCAACTCCTCGGTGGCGGCAATTTCTGCTCCGCTAAAAAGTGAACAACTTTTGGGGCGGAAAACCCACGAGTGGTTCATTGGGGGTGAGTTTCGCTCGCTTCTTGCCAACTGATGGGTTGGTTTTTAACTTTTGGTGGTTTGAGACGGAAAGCCCATTGGTTGGCAGAAAGAAGTCAAAGTCCTGACGTCCCTGCGCAAAATGCACCAAAGGAACGGCAGGGTAAGGGGTCACGGGAATTCTTTTGGGGGGACCCCCTGAAATGGCTTCGGTCTCCTTCTGGCTTCCCCTTTACCACCAAAAAGGGGCTACCAACTCAAAAAGGATGGAGGGGTAACTGGATTTCCGAATGGTTGCAACTTGGTGGGCTCCATGAAAACTGCCACTTGAGCTTCCGAAAAGGACATGGAGGAAATTCGGTGTGAATGTTTTGGTTTTGGGGGACCCCCCAAAATGGCTTCGATGTTCCTTTTGGTGTCCTTTGAAACAAACAAGAAGGGGTACCCTCAAAAAAAGACAGACCCTCTGGGGGAGAAGAATAGCCGATGCAGGTTGGAATTCTACTGCATCCTCGGACATCATGATGAAGATTTCTGTCCACCATGGTTCCGGAAGGGGACCCAGCGGCCATCAAATGCTTTGTTGCGTGACCTCCAGTAAGGGCTATTCTGGGGCCAATTGACATGACAAACAGAAATTGAGCCGGGATTACGTGGTGGTTGCCAGAGCTAGAGGAAACCAAGGCAAACAGGAAACCCAAGGCAAGGGTTGGACGCAACCCTGGTCCAGAACTTCTTTGAACAAGACCCTGCGCCCCGCAACTTAAAAGTGACAACCAAAGGAAGGCCAAACGAGGGTTGGCCCAAACCAAACGCGCGATATGAATCCAACGTCCGGACCTAAATTCCTCGATCGGGACGCCTTTTCAAAAATCGTAGCCACTCAAAATGAGAAGCTGTGTGCATGTGTCACGCCAGTCCGTGCCAGTTCAAGACAGGGCACAGTGTCTGTGAGGATGTAATCATCTGAGAGCTTCCTGAGGCAAAAAGCACTGAACATCTGTGAGTCGAGGCGCAGAAACGAAGGCCGCGATCTTTCCTTAAAAACGCGACCAAGGACGCCGCCAGATCTCCCAATTTCTCCTGGTCTCCAGCAAGTCCAAAGGTTTTTCCTTGTTCTTTTGAACGGGTCACTGAACTGGGCAGAAGCGAAACCACGAAGCAAGCCGACGATTGAAGTTACACCTGATGGATCTTCAACTAGGGCACCTGTCTTTGGATGATTGATGCAAAGGACAGCGCCCTGGAGTGCCCGACTTCTTCGAGAAACACACAACACATGTGCGAACTTGCTAAGTGGGAAGACATGTCCGAGTTGAAAACCACGGATTTTGCCAGGGATAAGGAGACATGGGCTTCGAATGCTCAAGGATATCCATCCTAAACGAGTACCACAAAACTTCAGGCAAACAGATGAATTCCGCAGTGTGGATTGCATACGTACATATCTGTTTGGCTGCATGCATGAAAAGAAGGCCAATTGTGAAGCCAACAACCAAAAGAGAGGGCCGAGAGTCCACTGAATGGGCTTGCAAAGTGAGCCCAAAGTGACAACCATGACGCCTCCAAATATTGGTTTGGTGGCAAGAAGAGAACTTTGAGAAGGATCGTGACAACCTTCCCGTCGATTACTACAGGGTTCCCTATATCTCCACCATCAGACCAAATGGAAGCTCACTTTAAGCTGGCAGCCGAAAGGCTGAATGCTAAAACCCTGCCATGTGGAAATCTAGGTGTGACACCCACGGTGCTCTGTGTCCCTTGAGGGACTAAGCCTTAAGGTTGGTTTACAACAAGGCCAAAGGGAAAACTGCCATGGTTTGTTCCGCACCCCTATTTTGACACTTTGGCCTTTTGAGGGTGCCGTTGTGGGGTGCAAGTTTTTCTCGCTACCCGCAGGAACCACCATTTTGGGGGGGTCCTCTATGAGACGTGACAAACCCACATGAGAGTTTTTTTCATCACGGCGGCCTCCTCTTTGCCAAGGTACCCAAAACAAAGGCACCATTAATCTGTGGCCCTTTTTTGGGGTGCCCCATTCTTCAGCTCCACAAAACTGGAAGCCACCCCTCCCCCCCCCCCCCCGGTCAGCCCGCGAGGCTAAGGCGAGCGCCTGGGCAGGTGGTGGTAGCGTCCACTGACCTGCAGGTGGCTGGATCTCAACGAGGCGCGCCGCCGCGCGCCCTGGCCGAAGGATGCCCGGCGGTTTGAAGAGAGGAACCACAAGAAAGGAACCTGAGGTAAAGAGGGCGCAATTCATTCCAAAAAATGGGGGTTGCACAAAAGTTCCTTGATTTTTGTTGTTTTCTCCTGGATTTAGAAGCTTCTCATATCCCCTTTCCAACCCGCTTGCGAGGAGTAAAAGGGAGAAAAGGAGTCCCCACACGCCAACTAACATGGAACCTGACAGGGGATCCCTTCAAAGGAAGTGGGCTTCCAGGACCCCCTGTCAGGTTCCATGTCAATTGGTGGGAGGGTATAAACTAGAAGGAACAGAACTGAGGACTAAGAGAACTGAAAGGACTAACGCAACCCAAAGGAATAAAAGGGCTGAAAGGACGAGGAGTACAAGGCTAACCTGGAAGATGGGAACCAAGAATGATCAGAAGGAAACAATGGGCCGGGCATGTAGGTGAAGGAATTCTGATAACTCACCAACCCAAAACTCGAGTCCCCTAAACAGACCGGAAAAGGAATGTTAAACAACTTGCCGCCAGAAGACCAGGAAGTAAGATTTTTACCTTTTACCACTGGCGGTTCCATTGGTTTCCTCTGAGTTCATTGGCCAAATATGTTTGTCTTTGCGCCATAGAGAAACCACAGGCCCCGGTCGACATGTTGAAGCATGGATCACTATGTTCATCAAATCGCAAAAGCGTTTCTCGGTTGCTTCTGCTCCCCTGCGAAAAGCTCAACTTTTAGTGGTTTAATGGAAAACCCATTGGTTGGCAAAAAGTGAAAGTCCTAACATCCAAGCCAAATGCACCAATGGTTTGGAAAGGGCTCCGGGTACACTTCCACGCTTGACCGAGTCTGCCCCAATGACCACAAGGTTGACCCTTTGGAACCTCGACTAAAATGGCACATGCAAAAAACAAATGGTCAAAAGGTTGGCTTTTGTAGGGGTTGATTCCCCATTCTTTTCAGCCATCGTTCTTTTCAAAGATCAGCCATTTCCCCAGGGTTTTTGGTGGTTGTCTAGAAAGAAGGATCCCTGGAAAGATTGGGGAAGTTACCCCTAGAGCTTTGGACAAGTGAGTTACCAAGTAACTTGGTGAGAAAGCCCGAGTTGTGCATTCATACACACTTGATTTCAGGATAAACATCAGAATAGGGAGAATTGCTCCCTCAGGTTGCTCCGTTGAAGGTTCATCCCCCCCCACGTGATTGACCCTATCCAGAACGGCGAGTGACACGCAGCACAAGGACAACTGACACCCACCTCAACTCTCGGGAGATATGTCAAATCTCAGTAGGCCCCCCAAAACGGGAGGGGGAGTCATGTGTGTGTGTGTGTGTGTGTGTTTTGTTTATAAGGGCCACGTGCTGAAAAAGGCAAGCAGGGTCGCCTCAAAAAATGAGGGAATGGCCCGTGCCTATCAAGCAATGAAGCTTCTGAAGGACTTTCCGGCTGAAGCTCACATAGTGGCATGGGAAATGACACCCTAGCCTTTCAGTTGAACCAATCAATCAACACAGACAGACAGACAGACAGACACACAGACAGACAGACAGACAGACAGACAGACAGACAGACAGACCGACAGACCGACAGACCGACAGACCGACAGACCGACAGACCGACAGACCGACAGACCGACGGGCAGGCAGGCAGGCAGGCAGACAGGCAGACAGGCAGACAGAAAGGCAGGCAGACAGGCAGGCTGACAGGCAGACAGACAAACCATCAGACAAACAGAACAGAAAAACGAGCAAACAATCAATCAAACAAACAAACACAAAGAAACAAACTAACAAGCAAGCGAGCAAAGAAACAAACAAAGCCAACAAAACCAACAAATCAACCAAACAAACAAACGAACAAACGAACAAACAAACAAACAAACAAACAACCAAACAACCAAACAAACACACAAGCAAACAACCAACCAACCAACCAACCAACCAACCAAACAAAACAAACAAACAAATGGGAAGCTTAAACGAACAACTTGGGTGGGCTGATCCTATGTCACTTTGCAGCATGCTGAGCCAGCCTCGAGGGCATCCTTGCTCGTCTTGCCACCCATTCTGCGACATGAGATGAGATCCGCTCAGCGCAAGCTCTCCCTATGCGGCTGTGTAAATGTGGCAAGCTGGCTGAAACAAAACACTGCAAAAGGAGGCTCGGTGTCATCCTATGCCTAGCTTTGAAAGAAAGGCCATGTAGACTGCTTCAGGGTTAATTCTGAACATTCACCCGTCCAAAACTAAGGCTCACTGAAGGAAACATCCTTTGCGAAGCCGCTGTCACTTTGGGATGTTAAATGGCCCTCTGTTCTTTGCTCCTGTTTTGACGAACTTTTGCATTTGAGGATCCGAGTTCTGTTGAAAGGTGGCCATGCAAATCCTCGACCACACGTGGGTGAAACGAGCGAACACGACAAATTCTGGCAAAAGGATCGGAAGCGCATCGAGTGTTCACTCGGTCAGGTCACATGGGCGACGCTTTTTGGGGACGGAAATGCCTTTTGGGTGGTTTAAAAAAGGATGCCACCCATTTTGGGGCGCTCCACTTTAAGATACCTGATATCCCTGTGTCAAACATGAACAAACATATGCCCTCCCGTAGTGACACCCATGGTTGGCAAATGCGACCTAAACGGAGTGGTGATGCCCGAAACTGCCGACACCTCAAACTAGGTCCTCCAGTAGAGAGATGATATTTTTTCTGTAGTCTGTTTTACTAGGGGAACCCTCCCCAAAAAAAGTTGGTAAAAGGGCACTACTGGGGGACCTAGAAAAACATCTGAGCATGGCCTGTGGCAATATCTGAGCTAGAGTCACCATTGTTTGCGCCAAGATTTTGGCGGTGAAACAGCCAGCGGTACATGAAAATGAACGTTGAGGTTCCGGCGCTTTTGTTGAGCTGACACATTTTGAATCGAACACCAAAACACCGCTTATGAACGCTGACCTCTAAATAGCATGTTGGGACTCAAGGCGGAACATGAAGGTGGCTCGCTCCTGTAAGATACTCTACCACTAAGTTCCGGAGCCTGGAAAGTTTGTGTTTTTTTTTTCCCCAGGCTGCGTGAGTCATGAGAGGCCGCAACCCGGTGAGGGTGAAAGTAAATGCCAACATAGACTATTCCCTCTATGTCGATAACAGCTAAATGGGGAGGTACCATTTACTTTCACCCAACTGCTTTGGCACCTTTTTCGGGGTTGGTTTACAGGGAAACCAAGGAAAACAGGGGCCAATTGTGGGGGAACCTGAGCAGAACCACCGAAAATGGCCAATAGGAAAGGTGCAAAAGCCTCACTTGGAGCAAGCAAGCTGCCCTGAAAGAGCTCCTTGTCTCACGCAGCAACTCGGAATCGACGGCCAAGGCAAACTGTAAATGGAAGGTAATTGAAGCATGGGCCAAGGCCGCTGAAGAACAAGCTCACTCTAGCGCACTCTTCCCCGAGTTGCAAGCCATAGTCGTGCTAAACATGGCTTGCACGTGAGCAGGCTTCACGGTGCCGAGCCCTGTTCCTGTGATGGACATGTCAGACAGGTCTGGACAACAAATGAAAGCTTGCAGCTTGCACATCCCCTGTGGTTTCAGTGTTCTTTTTTGGGAAGACCAACAAGTAAAATAAGGACTATGCATCCAACCCCCAACGCAGGGTGGGGCCAACCCTTGAACATGCTCAAATACCCCTTGCTTAAGTTTAAATGATATAACAAGGTGTCCCTTTCATAGGATTTCTCCAAACATCAACAAAACCAGTTTTGAAGAAGTGAACATAGTTAAAAGGTTTTGCATTTCTTCAGCCCCTCGCACTCTTTTCCCCTGTCCACTGTGCCCATTGCCCGAGTGCCGAGTGCCCGGCGATCATCTTCGAACCTCAGGCCGATGCCGAAGTCGCGGGGGAAGTAACATGCGCGTCATCACGGCCCTCAAAAGGCGAAAACCACACTGGCCTCGTGATTTTACCATGATCAAAGTCGCCTAAGTGGTGGGTTAAAGGGAAACAACCACATTTTCTGTTGATAACCCCCAGAAACAGTCCCCAGCAACATGAAAGATGTTTAAAAGCTTTACAAAGGAAGAACATAGTGTGACGGAATGACATTAAAAGAACAACAAAATAACATTACAAAGAAGAAAAAATACAAGCTTGTCAATCAGATTTGAGCGTTAAAAAAAAACACACCTTTACGCTTGGCATTCCCTAACCGATTCTGGTGACCATATCCTCCAAGTTTGAGTTTCAGACCTGGGGACACATGTGGGTCAAAGATCCACACGCTTGGACGCAAGAGGGGAACGATGTGTATCTTGTAGTCACAGAAACAAAATCAGAAATCCCCCAGTAAGGGACTGTCATGGGTTCCGCTCGTACCCCGGAATAGATGAGTCGCAACTTTTGCAGATCTATACGCATGGTCTTCACTTGCTTCAGATTCGAGAGAAGAACTGACCTGCGATTTCCGCACCGCCACGCGATTTCTTGCCCTGACATCATGCCACCAGAAGGCAACTCAGCTGGCCGGCCCAAAAGGTGCTGCAATTCTGGGCGGCCCTCAGATCCCCCGCTAAAAGTTTCACTTTTGGTGGGTTGAATGGAAACTACCACTAAACCCTAAAAGTTGCTGAAAAGCTAGGGAACCGGATGGCTGGGAGCCGCCAAGTTTTCTCACCCGACGAAAGACAGGTGGAAAATTTTCTTGTGCTGAAACCGGTCTGGTCGGTCGCCAAGGAGCCCGCTGCCTGTGGCAAGGTCCCAAGGGCTGAAACCGGGAGAGGTCCGGGAAACTCCCCGCTTCCCCAAAGGACAACAAGCGTTTCAGGGGAAAGCCCAAACGGTTTGGGAGAAGTGAAAAAGCATGGAGTTTGGTAGGGAAAACCAGTGGAAGGCCAATGGAGTGCGACTGGTGAGCAGCCATTGGTTGGAAGAGAAACCGTGGTTGCCTTTGCCTTTGGAAGCTTCTACGCCCTGAAGCAGCATTTTGGCCCAGGGTACCCTACCCTTCGAACCAAAAGCCCCCTATTTTTGGACATTGTGTATAGCAACTGGGGTCAAATAGCTGCGTTTGCCCCCGAAACAGTCGGGGGTTCACATGGTTTGCACATCCTAGGAACGGCAAAAAGCAGCCACGGTCTCTCCGTGAGAACACATACGGGTTCTCCTGCGCAACTTGGTCGGCCTTCATGCCTCAAGGGCTTTGTACACAATCTGGCCCCTCAGATTCTCCACGTATCTACAAACCAGAATATTGCCAACCCGTACTTTGTCCAGGGGAATCACCTTCTCTTTATCATGATTAGAGTTAGGCCCAGTTCTAGAATGTATATTTTATAGTTTGCCTCACTTTGAGTCACTGGTAAAATGTAAATGTATCCTGAGTCTACCCCAGTTCTGTTCGCAGGCAGGGGAATGCTTTCCGGCCATTTCTGTCAATGGCCGTTAAGCTTATGATCAACATGGAACCCAAACAGTCATGATTGGCTTTAAAGGAAACCCTTGAGTTTTCGTTTCATGTCCAGGAGAGAAAATCCGCAAAAATGGAGAACTACAGACTGTGAATTGAGGCAACCCCACGGTTCCTTCATGAGGCCCGAGCGATGTTTGTGTACCCAAGCCACGCGCATTGGCACAAGGGCTTTCTCCAAAATCGTCATACAGGTTTATATAGTCCTTACTAAACGATTCAACCAGCTAGAGGCCCCCGCCGAATAGACATTCTTCTGCAGTGGCATCGAAATGAGACAAAAAGAGCCCCGCAAACAAGAGTTCGAATACGAGATGTCCAACTTGTTTTGGATATTTCAACACAAGTAGGGGGACCCCAAATTTGTGGTTTGCATGTGGTGTCCCTTTCACCCGACCTAAGAAAGGGTACCCTCAAACAAAAGCACAAACCCGTTTCCAAAGGCTGGAGGCCCGGTGCCAGGCTGGCCATGTAAGCACCACTCCGCAGGAAAAAGAGCCGCTCCTAAAGCGTTGATCCCTGCAATGTTGCAAGTAATGCTGACCCCCACCCCCCCAAAAAAAAGCAGCATACACACCAGTTACTATCAACAAATAGCTTCCCATTCTTGTGTTGGTCTGCTCTCTCCTGGGAGAGCCGCCCCTCCCGGTTTCGGTCAGCTAGTTGAATAGAAACACGTTCCCAGAACTGGTCTCGGACGCTGCAACCGCACCACCGCCCAATCTCCTTTCAACATTGGCCTATGTCAGTCTTCCCAAGGAGGGTGTTGTTGTTGAAGTGTGTATGTATCTATATATATATAAGAGTATGCATGTATATGTATGCATATGTTAATAGGATTTAGGATTTAGGGTTTAGGGTGTATATATATATATATGTTATGTTGCAGCTGGCACGAATGCCATAGGCCCAAACACAGCATATCAGCTTTTTGCGCGGAGGACCTTCATGTCTTCCACGTTTCCGCAAGTCTTGTGGTGCAGTCATTGCGTCATGTCCTTGTCACTGCCCTTTGGACATGAAAGGATCGCTTGGAAAGGATCTGAATCAGGCACAATTCAACAATTTCTGAACCTGGAACTGCATGATATCGCCAAGAGGGACATAGGGTAGATAGTTGTCACTCGTGGAAGGATCACGTCCAAGTCGCCGATCAAGAATTGGCCCCAGGCCAATATGAAAGTCACCCCTAGGTTGATCTAGAACACGGTGTTGGATTTGAGCTTTGTGTGGAGTTGGTTCACCCGTTCTTCGGACCTGTTGGTCATTTGTTTAGTAATCTTTAGTACTCTTGTAATATTCTACAAAGGTGAATCCACAAAAGCCACATCCAAACCGTCTGCTAGAGTTGAAGCGAAGCAACCATCGAGTTTCATAACCTACAGAAATCAGCAACGAAATGACACAGTGTGACCAACAGCTCGAATTCCGCATGAAGGGTCCATGCCCCACTTGCCCCAAAGCATGGCACATATGTGCCTGAAATGAAATGAATCTAGTGTCACCCAACTTTAGCTCCAGAGGCAAGTAACACATCATCTTCTCTGTGGTTTTCCCCATGGTCATTGCATGTTTACCCGCCCTTTTTGATCAAACCCCATGTTCGTCATAGCTCCTTGGCACCACATTGACTAGGTCCTCCAGTAGA